TGACATGTCTAGTTAGGCCATCTATTTAGTTTAGCCAAATAGGTTCTCCACCACACAGGCTGTGTTCCCAAGTACCAAGGCCTCGGTGCAGGAGATGCAAGCTCTCCAGCAGTTACCATGAATGGTAACAACAGTGTGACAGATGTCTCAGGAGAGGCATGTGCTTTCTTCACACATCACTGAAGGAGACATTAATGAGATAGAGCTGCAGCCATTCAACTGTTTAGGAGAGATTTGGGGGGCTAGCAGGGGATTCGGGTAACTCTTCCAGAACAATCCACTATCTGGGACAGTAAAAAATGCTGACTGAAGAAGATGGGTCTTTGGTATTTCAAAGATCAAATCCCACCATTAGACAGAAACTGGGAGAAGCACATCAGTCACATACCACCTAATTAAAAAAAAAAAAAAGTCCTGTGTAAGTCAGTGTATTTCATTCAAAGATAGGGCTGCATCAAGACATGTATCTGTTACTGAAGATGACCCTTTTCTTGGGCAAACCTGTTTCTGACCAAATCATGCCAGAAAAAAAATATTTTCCAAGTCTTGCAGTCTGCATGGCAGCTAAAAACTGTATCTTTCCTGCCAGAAATCCCTACATAAACATGCCAGAGTTCCAATGACAGACGACTGCTGAGACTCACCTTTGCACAATACTGTGGTAGCCTGGTGCTATGTCATCAGTTACAGGCTGCAGGAAGACATTGGCGTACCTGTGGAGAGATGGAGTCCACTTAGTGCCCCGTCCTTGCTGGTAAATATTTGTTTCACACTGTCATGTGTATTTGGCTGCTACCAGTAACAATATGATTCGTTGTCTCCCCGCAGATAAGCTTCCGAGATGGGAGAGTGGAGACTTGTCTAGGATTAGTCATTTCTTTCTGCCAGTTCTCAAGACATCAAACTCACCTGTGATTAGCTGCCGCTCTCCAAACTAGCATGATGGCTTTCTTCCAGATCTTCTGGGCTTGTATCGCTTCCTGGTCCTCACTGCATACTGAGCTGGGAAGGAAAGAACAGCACTTCCTTCAGGAGTCTGCAAACTGCCTCGGAGCAGAAACCTTATGGTTTACTTGGCCTTTGACATGCCTATGCTAATCCATGCTAAAGACAGAAATAAAAAAATGGGAGCTGGTACTATGGCACTGTCTGCACGCTTACAGTTGTAAGCAAGGAGAACCAGACAAATCATCAGCTAATTATCCCTTTGGACCCACTCAGTCAGCAAAACAGAAATGAGAATCCTACCCTCCCTCCACAAAACAGCCTGGGATTTGCACCTGCGTGCCTGAGAGCTTCACTGATACTCACAACTGCGAGGAGGCTGGGCTGCTGGGGATGGAGTCAGCTAGCGTGTGAGACTGTAAAGGTGCGTTATGGACACTGAAGCCATCATCGCTCTCACTCACAGGGGGTTCGTTATCCATCTCTGACAGATATCCCTCACCCTGATCTTCTTCTTTGGGTTCTTCCAAACTGGCAGCCTCACTGGCACCATCCTCATCATCCTCTTCGCCCTGCCCATCCTGAAACAGAGAGTTCATGAGTCTGCACAGCCAGCTACACCAGCAACTCAAGAGCCTCGAAAGCAGCTACTGTTCAGCAAGCAAAGTGATTTTTTGCTATGCTGCTGGCAACCATATAGGCACTTCAACAAAATCCTAGTCACTCTATCCTGCCCTGCCTCCCCCTGCGGACACAGAAGCACACATGCACACACAGCCTTACTGCGCCTGAAGCAACCTCCTGTTTAGCTCCACCTGCAGACTGTCGACTTCTCAGTGCAGAAAGCTGAATGCAAGCTTTGCTTTTCAGCAGATGGGAGCCAAGAAGCAGCAGCAGTGAGATGTTACTAATAAACCCAAGGTGACTACAGCCAATCCAGAATTACCTTCATCTGACTCCTAAAGAGGGCTTGGGCCTCCTCCTTCATTGACTCTGTGAAAGAAAAAGAAGCAGAAAGGTTGATTCTCCAAAACAGTCTTTCCTACAAAAGCTCCTCACCAATGCCTACTGTCCTGCAGTAATTACCACTGTTCCTACACGTATCTTTTCTCCCTCCACCCCAAAAAACCTGAATCAGATCACTGACAACTATCCAGCTAATAATGTTGCATGTAAAAGATTTCCTAGCTGAATTAAGTTACCTGACAGCTCAAATTTGTGCTGAACATCAGCCTGTGAGGAGTCTTCACTCACATTTGGGACTTGTGGAGGGGATGAATCATCATCAGGTGGGGTCTGGAGGGAAGAGAAATGCACAAATCTAGAAGTTTGTGTCAGCTTACTTCAGTGAAAGTGTGGGCACATCTCACTCACCCTAACCTAACTCAAGGCAATGAAGTTCACTGAGCACCTTCCCAACAGCAATTCTGCGCATGGGCGGGGGTAGGTACCCAAAGGTACTGCCTACGGCAGAGAGCTTCTCTGCAGATCGAACAGACCAGCAGCATTACTCCCAAGAGAACAGTCAGTCACATTCATTGAAGGGTCAACTTCAACCCAGCAGTCATCCTTCCTCTAAACTTCTCTCCTACCTGCCACAGCTGCTCCTTTCTTTCCCCACACCAGTTCCAGACAGCCTCTCTGCTCACATACCTCTGTCTTCACCGTGTTGTGCACCATGTCTTCTCCCTTGGCCGACTCTATCTCAATTTCAGCAGTCTCTCCTGTTGCTACAGCTTCTCTTTGATCCTCTACTATCTCTTGACTTATAAGCTCTGGTGTTTCAGTCACTCTTGCACTTGCTGGTACGGTTTCCTCAAGGCCCAGCTGATTCTGCTCCTGCTCTGCAGGTTCTGTCTTTATTTCTGATCCCAGCTCTCCAATGCCCATTAGATCTCGAATTCCCTTTGCCTCTGGCTCCTCACACTCCAGTCTCTCCTGCTTCACAGTCACAGACACTTGGGGTATTTGGGCCTGCTTCTCGTGCTCCTGACGAATTGAGTGTTCCCATGGACCAGGCAGGGTCTGAGGGTCATCAGTGTCTTCGCAGAAAGAAGACAGAGCAGCTTCAACAACCGCTGCATCCAGGACTTCAGGATGGTCGTCTACCTTTATTGCCAAAACAAACACAGACCAGTGCAGGCCACGGTCAGAAAGAGGAATTAAAAAACAGTTCATGTTATTGGGCAATGAGACAATTGTGGAAAACACGGTGTACTGGGTTTACAAAGTTCCCTTTCGCAGCCAGACTCCTATCACTCCCTGGGGAGTCTCCCGTGAAGCTTCAGTTTCAGAAATATAGCACTCCCAGAAAGTACGCTGCAAGCAGCATTCATCTGTCTGCCAGAGACATGACCCAAACCCTACCCAACATGAGAAAGAAAGAGATTTCCTTCTGCACTCTGAAGAGGAGCACCAGGCTAAATGTGGCAGACTAGCAGCAGTGGTGTCATAGGGTTATCTCTCACTGATCTGGACAACGATGGTGAGAATATGTGTTTTGGAATAGTTGTACTTTACTTGTTTAAACTAACTAAACTGGTGAACAGTAATCACTTGAAATTAACCTAACTGGATGTGGAGCCAAAGGCACTGGCACTCTGCTTTGCCTCTTTACCTTGTCCTCAATGATGGCTATAATATTTCCAACAGTATCGAAGTCCAGCTCTTCCCCTGTGTAGGACACTGCAATATCCATTTTCTCAGCCAAATCCAGGTCTTCTTTCCCATCCATGCAGTGATCTTTGGAAGCCCCTGCAGTGCTGCCAGCCCCAGAACCCAGGCACTCTTTCTTGATGGAATCAATGATCATGGATATTTCACTGCTGTCCATGGACACTGTCACAGTATGGGAATCAGACACTGCCTCCATGGAAACACAGGCTTCTGGCTGGCTCACTGCACAAAGACGAGAGTGACAATCAGAGACCAATCTGCAGAAGTCAAGCCCACACAAACAAACACTGCAGTGGATAAGACCAAGCACCAACCGCAAGTATCCCAGGTCCACCCACAACAGCATGGCTTAGAACAATCCAAGACAAATATGGGTTTGCTTTCCCACAGTAGAGACAAAGTGAGGTTCCAGCCCTTGAACCTCAATCCAGCAACATACCATCAACACCCCCACCCAGCAAACCCTGTTTAAAACCATCGGTTTACTCCGTAACCCAGCCGTAACCATCCTGTCAGCAAGGATGGCGACTCTGAGGTGATACAGGCCAGCTGAGAGCTCGCTGGGTGCTGATCCCCATGGAAGTTCTGCTTTCCAGCAGTGCATGACCCATGAGTGCGTAGTTCAGGAACGCACCTGTGGCTACGCTTTCTGGAGCTGCAGCTGGTGGCACAACGGATGGTGCTGACAGCGTGGGCATCATGACAATGGTTGCCTGTGGCACAGGCTCTACGGGGGGCGGCAGGAGCTTAGCTGGAGGTTCGCTGGCAACAGCGGAGAAGGAAGCAAGAGGTGAGGTGAACTGTGCAGGACCAGCTTCTAAAAGCCGGGAAAGCGTAGGAGCACCTAACAGAGAGTAGAAGGGAAAAGCACATGAGCAAGAAGCAGCCACCACTGAAGTCCACAAAGCCACCACCGGGTTCTTCACTGTCTGGTGGCTTCTTCTGGAAAAAAGAGGTACCTATAAATGGTCCCAAAAGCTGTACGGAGAACCTGCACCAAAAATACATGGCTCCTTTGTGCATGCAGTCTGAGACAGAATCATGCAGACTACGGGACACTGTGTTCAATGTAAGGGCTGGACAGGCTAAGCCACACATGCAGAGAGATGCCCTTCCAAAGGCTCATCCCAATACCATTTACGGGAAATCTGAAAAACAGTGCTGAGAGCCACACAACGGAAGCCAAGACAAACAGTCATCACAGGAGCTGGAAGGGAGCAGAGGGGATCTCTTTGCAGGTCTTTCCTGGAGAATTCCTCTTATATCAAAGGCTGCCACTCAGCTATAACTTCCAGCCTGAGTTTACTGAACTGTCTGGACCAAATTAACACGTCTTACAGAACAGATGTGGATAAGGAAAGTGAGACTATTCACATGGAATTATGTATGAATGAATGGCATAAATCCTCAGTCGCAGACAATGTGATTAAACCACTGGCTGGCATGAGCTGAAAAGCTTCACCTTAGGCAGGTTGTTCTGAAAATGCCCAATGCAAAGACTCTGGCGTTGTCTCTCTCACCCCCTGCTCTGTGGGACTTACTCTGGAGCTCCCAGCCCACTGAGGTCTAATCCTCAACACTAAGCTAAAGCACAGGTAAGACACAAGTTCTCCAGATTCACAGGGAGCTGCACTTTGACACATCGGGAATCAGATACTAGATCAATTTTTCTCCAACTCCCTGTCAACTAATCCTTTCTTTCTATACTGAAATGTCTGGTATTAACCAGTGTCAAAAGCAGAAAACTAGACTGCACAGACTAGGATCGAATAAAGTCTAATTGTTTCAGTCATTTTAGATCAAGGCACTCTTTTTATCTGTAAGGATTATAGTCGTCTTAAAAGAAAGTAGGGCTGAGAGGGACGGGGGTACAGAAATAGGACTATAACTCATAAAGAAGCCAGAAAACCAGCCAGGCTAGATGTCCTTCATCTCTCTCCAAAGAGAACTCATAGCAGAGTCTGAAGGTATATCTGAAGGGTGAACTGTAGGGGGAGAGTCCTGAGTTACCTGAAGCAGCAGGAGATGCAGGGACAGCACCAGGTGCCGACTGCATTTCCCCGCTGTGCAGCACTGGAAGGACGCTTCCTACCTCCAGTAGGACTCCTGAGCTGTTCATGTGACCAGAAGCCACGGCCATTTCATTTTCACCAACCTGCCAAAGGAGGACACAACTGAAGTTCCTGGAGAAACCATCACATCAGTGATTCTCTGCCAGATATGCACCTCCATGAATATGTCCATCATTTGCTGTCTCAGCATTTCTTCTGTGGTTTTTGTCCAGTCTAGTCCCTGTCTGAGGCCCCTTACACAAGTGCACGGCATCACAGTCTGAAACTAGTTTGTTCTTCAGCTACAATACAGCTGCAGTGCCACCTTCTTTTGAAGTCAGGCCAAATATATCATTTGCTCTACCTCAGTTCCTCTGTTCAAGGACCTCAGAACCCTTTACAGATACCAGTCTCTCTAGCCCCTGAGATGGCATGGAATTATCCCTTATTTTGACTTGAGGCAAACTGAAGCACCAAGATGTAAAGTAACTCTCTCAAGGTCACACAGTAAACCTATGATGGACCTTGAAGCAGATGTAAAAGTCCTGTCGATACAAAGAAAACCCAGTCCTCCACAGCCATTATCCTTCCTTGCTCCACCCTATGTTACACTGCACCCTGCAAACATAAAACCCACGGAACATTTACCCAAGCTAACAAATAGCAGTGACCCCAAATCTGACTACTAAAAAAAGAAAGTCAACAACAATACACCTATTCCATCACGCAAGCACTAACAAAGGGAACCCGTGCCACAGGTAGGCTGATGGCTGCTATTTTCAGACTGGGCTCTGAACAGCGTCAGCAATGGTTGCCCTCCTAAGACTTCCAGAGTCACTAACACCAGAGAGGTCAAAGTGGCTTGCCATCCAGTGATTTTAATAACTGTCTACAACTACGAGAAGACTGAAGCACTTAAATATTCAATAACCCCATTAAAGAACTCCCTCTTCCTATGCTATGACCCACTACAAATATTGAAACTCAACTTCCTGCCAAGAATTGTGAGCCCAAAGTAGAAATCACCAAGAACACCTCCATGGAGACAGACTGGGATGATGCTGACTAACACTCCCCCTCCCCCGGGAGAATGATTTCCTCGAGCAAAACCTGCAACTCCCAACTCCTTATGAGTGAGAGGAGACACCCAGTCCTACGTGCTGAATAACCCCTGCAGTCCTACACCCACAGTACTGCCGGGAAAGGGTCCCACTTCTGTGGCTCACAGGGGCAATTAAATCTCTTGGATATCACTTCTGTTGGGACTCTCACAAGAACTGTACATTTTTCAAAAGCCTTTGCAGCTCCCCCTTTTTCAGTGGGAGAGTCTGGAGCAAATTGTTTGTGTGCTTGCATATATGAGCAGAGAGCTCCATACCAGCCTGGGGCTTGTGGGCAGGAGACTGCCCTTCTTCAGCAGCTCTGAGAGCAGAGGGGAAGGAGGCGGAGTTGCTTTTTGTCCTAGCATCTTTTTCTGGGGTGAATCATCAGTGACTGGGGTCATGGGGGCATCCAGGGGAGCAGAGCCTGGAGGGGTGTCAGGGATTCCAATGAAGGAGGCAACTGGGGTGCTGGGCAATGTCCCTGGAGTGACCTGAGAAAGAGAAAAACCACACTGTTCAAAGCCACACTCCACCACATGGCTAGCCCCACTTGCTCCTTCCCCCTAGAGCACTGATCCAGCACACCACAGACACCTACTCCACTCACTCGCTACACCTGCGCCAGATACACGCTTTCACCCTTTCCCTGCCCTGCAGTGCCATTTCCCAGGCACACACAGCAGACTGCCTGGCCAACCCACTGATGCCCCTACGTAGCCTTTGATCTAGGCACCTGATCATCACAGACACGGAAGAGGACATGTATCTCGAGCAGTGCTGTACATCAACCACACTACAGTACTACCACAGCGAAAGGTCTGCAAAATGAGGCAAGCGCTTCTCCCTGGGCTCCTATTCCATGATGGATGCCCAGCCACCCAACGTCCCAAGCTGGTCTTTCCCTCTTGCCACGTCAGGTATCCTTACCGCCGGACTGGCCTCATCCACAGCGGGCTGAGACAGATCTCCCAGAGCATAGTCTCCCCCTGGGGAGGTTGAGCCTGCAGGGGAGCGAACCATCACACCCGTTAATCGTCGTGGCGGATTCTTAATGGCCTGACGAGCTGGAAGAGAACAGAAAAAAGAGTGAGATTCCATGAGTCCATCTTGGACAGTCCCTGAGAGTTACCTCTGACTTAATCCTAAAGAACCCTAATGAAACAATTCATACTGCAGGAATTTCTTGCACCCCACTAGGCTCAGTTACTAGCATGGATAATGCACTTTAACTGCAGATCTCCGTATCAGATGGGTATTCACCACCTCCCACCACTGGTAGGTTAGTTCACTGAACTGCCCCAAGAATTACAAACCAATTAAACATTCAGAACAAATCTCTCTTCCTTTTCTCTTCAGACAACAGTAATACCACAGGGAAAACTAAAGGGGTGAAAAGCCTGACATTTTAACAGCGAGCTCCTTCCTAATCATGCTTCCTCTTAGATACACCTTTTCTGCAGAACTTGTTCCCTTCTCAGAAGTCTCTGCATTTTTCCTGTTACAAATACAGTGCCGGAAAGAGAATATCAAGGATATTCACGGAATTCCTCTCAAACAGCTCTTAAAAAGACTTAAATATTTCCCAAATGTTCTTATGAACATGTGCCTCTTTCTCTGAGGAGTAAGGAAGCTCATTTCCCGCTTACCCTGATAAGCAGCATCTGTAGCCTTCCTCTTGACTTCTGCCTCCTCCTCCTCCATTTTTTTCTTTCTGTATACAGAACCAAAAGCTACTGTCACACAGTGTCCCACTTTCCCTTAGTTCCTCCTGCAGCTTACTGACCCCCACCCCATTATCTTCAGACAACAACGACCTGCCCCTGAGGACTCGGGCTCAACTGCTCTGAGGAGCGAAGCAAGAGTCAGAGGCCAGAGAACAACACGCCTGGCAGGAAACCTCACCGCCAGCTCATCATCAAAGTGGAGAACGCAAGCACGATATCGCAAGCCACCACCGAGCTCTTCACCGAGAAACTCCGTAAGATGTTCCACACAAGCTGGTGCCCCCAGTCTAAACTAAGTCCACCCTCAGAGGCCAAAGCATCTGCCCAGCTGCCCTGTTCCTCTTAACCCAACGTATGTGGAGCAAGAGGTGTCTGATAAACACACACTGTCAGGCAACTACAATCTCAGAAGAAAGCATAACATGGAAATAATTAAATAACCCACATCATAATCTCATTGCACAGCTCCTCCAGTCTGTTATCCATGTGTCCGGCCTGGATCAGCTCTGCATCCTTCTTGAGTTGCCTGTAATCAGAAAATCTTCTTACTTACTTATCACTGAACAATACTCCCGATGGAGCGTTTTCACTCCAAGCACCATCCCACTTGGGCCACTTTTTCAAGACAGGACTCTCAGGCGCACCACAGCTTAACGCCTCTGCCACACACCTGTATTTCTCCTGTGTTTCTTTAATCATTTTCTTCAACTCCTCAACTCGTTCTGCAGTTAGTTTCCGCACAATAACATCTTCCACAGTTTCCACAACTTCTCCTTTCTCACCACGTTTTCTCCTATAGAATAGGAGCAAAATAAAACAGCTCAGACATGAAACTCAGAAAACCTCAGTTCTCCCTTCATAAATGGCTGCTGTCTGTCATTCCTGACACAAACACGCACAAAAAAAAAATCAACCTCCTCTTCCAATTTCTCTTAAGTGATACTGGACAGCACAGTGTTCAAACAAGCTATTCTGAAAAGTTTATCTAATTCTTAAATGCGCCCACTGTTAAAGAACAAATCAAAGATGCAAGCCCACTGCAAATTCTCAACCTGAAAAAAATCAATCATTCAGCTTCAGAGAAGCTTCTTACTAGCCCCAAAGAAACATCTATTTTTTTTCCTCAATAACTCTACTCCATCTTTTGTCTTCGCAACTCAAGTGCTGAAGATCATTCAGCACTATCACAAACCAATACTACTTTTAAACATCCAGCCTTTAATTTAATTTGATGTGAAGTCTCAAAACAAAGTGCCTGGATCTAGGAGTGAGAAGTATCTGAGACCACAAAGCTGCAGTGATAGCATTGATAAGAAAACTGTAAGAAACCACTGCAAATTAGAGAAAAATACGAAACATTTCCCCTTCTCACTCTTGCTGCCTTTTCCACCCCTATTCTGAATAATTTTATGTGTAAGGCTTCTGATCAGTAAGACCAATATGTAGTGTTTTGTTCCAGCCAAATAAATGTTTCTTTTTGCTGCATTCGTCCCCAGCTGCACACTGCAACTCTTACAAATGCAGCGGTGGCAGAGGTCCCAGTTACTCTGCCATGTACTGTAATGATAGCAGGGACATATGGAAGACACTAACAAGTACACAGAACCATGTGATACTGAAATACTTTGGTCTTATGAAAAAAGGAGACAAGATAAGGAGGTATGGGAAGCATGTTCTAAGAAATACTTTGGGCTTGCCTATCTTCCCCATCTGCCATCCCCGGATCCCAGTTATCACAGCCAGATTTCTTCATTCCTGTACACTCCTTTCAGAAGGAGCATTATCAAGTCCTTTGCTGTAAGAACCAACAAGTTCACCCAAAATCGCTGCAGACTGCACTTGCTTCAGACTTTGTACTCACTTAGGGGTCTCCGTGGTCTCCAAGAGCTCTGAATACTGAGATGCACAGTGCTAAGAAGAAACAGAGAAAGTCAGAGGGCACCATGGAGTCAGCTTCAGCAAACGCCTATCAACAAAGCCTACAGAGCACTTACTCTTACTTTGTCAGAGGTCTATGCTTTATGAAGACATCTGACTATCTTCTCCACAGTTTCCCCCATGGCTACACCTTAGTGTAGCTCAAAGGGAGAAAGCATATTCACTTTTACTCTAGCACTGCCCCGGCTAATCTTCAAAACAAAGCTAGAGCACAGATGCTCTCAAATAACAATTCAGAAGTCAAAGCAAGCAAGCATGATTAGGAAAACTGTGCTGTAATGTTTCCATCTATGAATATGAACCAAAAATATTTCTGTGGAGAAGACAAAACATTTTATCAAGGCCAGTTTCATAGCTTAACAGAAACAGTAAGCAACACACAATCCCCAGCATCTCCTCCCTTGACTCTCTTAATTTTTTTCCATCCCTTCTACAACAAAAAATCCCAGGTGCTTGCCCAAACTGCAGGACACACCAAAATACATGGGCATCCACAAATTCCTGGGGCAAGAAATTCCACAGCTTAATTACAAGCCTGGTGAAGAACAACCTCTTTAGGTTTGCTTTGAACCGGCCTCCTGCTAGTCTCAGTCAATAGCCTCTAAATCTTGTACTGGACAAAGCACCAAACAATTAATCCTTATTCACCCTCAACACACCACTTCTGCTTCTGCAGACATCTGTTGTATTCCTGTTACTCATCTCTTCTTTATGGTAAGGGTTCTACCTTTCTCAGCCATCCCTTACAAGGAAGCTGTTTCACGTCTTTGATCATCCTTGTCCTTTCCTTAACTTTATCCAACTGTACCGTAAGCCCAAATTTCATTTCAGAAACAGGAAAAAGTATTTAATCTGATTGAAATAAAATAGATTTTTAAAAAATTAATATTGCTGTCTTTTTTAAAACAAGCAGTACACTCTCTTAGGCAGCTGCCCTACATATCCCATAAAGAACTCATTTTTTCCACGATTCAAATGGCAGTACCTTACCTTTTGGGAAAACCAGTCAGGCGGGCGTCCTGGCTCTGCAAAAGGTTTGATAGCTCTGCTGACTGAGACCCTACAGGAGAGAAATGGCCAGTCACTGTCAGCCTACCTGCTTCCCCAGCCAGTGTGCAGACAACAGATGCTGACCTGTCTTGATCTTCATCACTGAATAGCCCCCATAAACACGCTGAACTTGCCAAGCAGTTGTTATGTTTAGGAATTATTCAAGTACAGCCCTTGCACTCAAAAATATTTTCCTGTTCCTAATAAATGACAGCTTCAACCCCTTGCTTTGAAAAGCAAGTTTCTGGCTTCTGATGACACCACCACATTTCCACAGAATCCTTACTTTGGCGAGGGGAAAAAGGCAGCAAAACAGAGCTACGAGTTCAGCGCAGAGAAACCCGTTACCAAACGCCCCTCCTGAGCACACCTCACTCCTCACCACCCCAGCAGCTGCTGCTCGC